GTGGTTGCAGGTACGCCCCGGAGTGCCTCAAGGAATGTAAATTTTATTACGCCTCGGATGTTTGGTCCTTCGGGGTGACCCTCTACGAGCTCCTGACCCGCTGCGACCCCGGGAGCAGCCCCCCAGCCGTGAGTCCTGGCAGAATTTGGGGCTTTTTGGGTTGAAATCGGGCTTTTCTCACGGTTTTGGGGTTTTTTTTGGCACAGAAGTTCCTGGAGATGATCGGGGCCACGCAGGGGCAGATGACGGTGCTGAGGCTGATCGAGCTCCTGGAGAGGGGGAAGAGGCTGCCCATGCCCAGGGATTGTCCCTGCGAGGTGGGAAACGGGGGAAAACGGGGGGAAAATGGGAAAAACGGGGGGGAAATGGGGAAAATGGGGAAAAGTGGCAGAAAATGGGGGAAAAATGGGGGGAAAATGGGGGGGGAAATGGGGGGAAAATAGGGGAAAATGGGAAACAGGAAAAATGGGGGGAAATGGGGAAAATAGGAAAAAATGGGGAAAAGTGGCAGAAAATGGGGGGAAAATAGGGGAAAATGGGAAACAGGAAAAATGGGGGGAAATGGGTAAAAGGGGGGGAAATGGGGAAAATGGGGGGGAAATGGGGAAAAATTGGGGGAAATATGAGGGGAAATGGGGAAAAATTGAGGAAATGGGGGCAACTGGGGAAAAGAGGGGAGAAAATGGGGAACAATGGGGGAAAATGGGGGGGAAATGGGGTAAAGGGGAAAATGGGGGAAATAGGGGGAAAATAGGGGAAAATGGGATAAAAATGGAAGGAAAATTGGGGGAAATGGGGAAAATGGGGAAAAGCAGGGAGAAAATGGGGGGAAATGGGTAAAATGAGGGGAAATGGGGAAAATGGGGGGGAAATGGAGGGAAATTTGGAAAATGGGGAGAAATGGGGAAAAGAGGGGGGGAAATGGGGGAAAAGGGGAAAAATGGGGGGAAATGGAGGAAAATTGGGAAAAATGAGGGGAAATGGGGAAAAATGGGGGGCAAATGGGGAAAAATAGGGGGAAAATGAGGGAAATGGGGAAAAAATGGGGGAAATGGGGAAAAATTGAGGAAATGGGGGCAACTGGGGAAAAGAGGGGAGAAAATGGGGAACAATGGGGGAAAATGGGGGGGAAATGGGGAAAAGGGGAAAATGGGGGAAATAGGGGGAAAATAGGGGAAAATGGGATAAAAATGGAAGGAAAATTGGGGGAAATGGGGAAAATGGGAAGGGAAGGAGGAAAAGGGAGAGAGGGAGGAGGAAAAGTGAGGGAAGGGGGGAAAATGGGGAGGAAGAAGGGAAAATGGGGAGGGGGAAAATGATTCCCACAGATCTCCCCGAGATTCCCCCAGAATTCCCAGGAATTCCCCCAGAATTCCCAGGAATTCCCCCAGAATTGCCGGAATTCCCAGGAATTCCCCCAGAATTGCCGGAATTCCCAGGAATTCCCCCTTTTCCCAGGTGTTCCGGCTGCTGCAGCTGTGCTGGGAGGCCGAGGCCTCGTTCCGCCCGGCCTTCCCCAACCTGGTCCCCGTCCTGCGCCGCTTCCGGGAGAAATACCGAGCCCAGGCGGCCTCGGTCTTCAGCCTCTGCTGAGGGGATCCCAAAAATCCGTGGGATGGACAGGGGAAATCCCAAAAATCCATGGGAATGGACAGGGGAAATCCCAAAAATCCATGGGATGGACAGGGGAAATCCCAAAAATCCATGGGATGGACAGGGGAAATCCCAAAAAATCCATGGAACAGGGGGAGAAATTCCAAAAAATCCATGGAATGGACAGGGGAAATCCCAAAAAATCCATGGAATGGACAGGGGAAATCCCAAAAATCCATGGTATGGACAGGGGAAATCCCAAAAAATCCATGGAACTGGGGGAGAAATCCCAAAAAATCCATGGAATTGGGGGGTGAAATCCCAAAAAATCCATGGGACTGGGGGAGAAATCCCAAAAAATCCATGGAATGGGCAGGGGAAACACCAAAAAAAAATCCATGGAATTGGGGTGAAACAGCCCAAAAAATCCATGGGACTGGGGGGGAAATCCCAAAAATCCATGGAATTGGGTGGGAAATCCCAAAAAAATTCCATGGAATGGTGTGTAAAAAATCCCATGGGATGGGGGAGAAAAACCCTGAAATATCCATGGAATGGCAGACAAAAAATGCCATGGGATGGGGGGAAAACACCCCAAAAAATCCATGGAATGGAGAGGGAAAAATCCCATATAATGGGGGGGCAAACACCCCCAAAAAACCATGGAGTTGAGGGTGGAAACACCCCCAAAAATCAATGGAATTGGTGGGAAATACTCCAAAAAATCCATGGAATGAGTGTAAAACAGCCCAAAACATCCCATGGAATTTCGGAGAAATCCCAAAAACCTCCGTGGAATGGACAGAGGAAAAATCCCAAAAATATCCAGGAAATTGGGGGGAAAATCACAAAAAGATCCATGGAATGGAGGGGAAAAATTCCATGGAATGGGTGGAAAAAAAACCCCAAAAAATCCATGGAATGAGGGGGAAATCCCAAAAATAATCCATGAAAATAAGGGGAAAACCCCCAAAATTCCATGGGAGTCCAATTCCTGACACGAATCCCCAAAATTCTGGATTTCCCCGCAAAATTCTGAATTTTCTTCCCAAAAAATTCCGGATTTTTTCCCCGCCCAACGCTGTGAATGAGGCTCTGGGGACGGCGATTTTTGGGGTGAAAAATGGGGAATTTGGGGATTTTTGGAATTTTTGCCTTATTCCCACCCCTCTCCCCAAAAATTTGGGGTTGGGGATTAAAAAAAA